TCCCAACCCGCGAACCGAACCTGAGATCCCTTGCCTGAGTCGCACTTGCGACCACTCGGATCAGATATAATTCAATTATATACTACGTTTAAAAAAATCTACTCCAACCTCCTCTTTTTGTAAAGGCAGTTAATTAATATACTAAAACCTTCTCCTAAGTATAATAAACACTTTTTTAAAATCCGCATCAAAATCCATTCAGCCAATAATGAGATAACCGCGCACAAACATACAGACATAGGTAAAAGTCAAATTGAGAATCTCCTTATTCTAAAGTCGTTTAAATTGTCAAACACCGCGAGGACACCGGTAACCGCAACCTATTGTTCTTTAATTGTGTCTATAATGACGGTACTCAAAATGTTAAAGTCGTTTAAAAATGCTTCGTTTGAGCTGTTTACTCATAAGAACAAAACATTGTTTGTATTTTATTAAATAACGGTTTAAATGACACATAAGGTTTAAAAATGTCGTGGAGAACCTAACGGGTAACCGGGGCTCCGGCTCGACGTGCAGGAGAAGGAACGGAGTGGTTTTTAGTCAGTAGGAGTCTGACACTCCCTCCCGCCTCACCTAGGCGGGAGCAGTCATTCGATGATTTTCTCCCCTTAAAAAAAATAATAAAAAAAGGTTTAAAAATAACACAAAATTGAAACGCACAAAGTGTTTTTGCATCTCTTATGAAGTTATCATTTTAGACTTAAATCCTTTTTCACAAGGGTCACAGAATCATCATTCCCACTTGTTGGCTTGTGAGATCGAAAGTGTATTATTTTGAGTCGACAAGTTATGCTTGTAAACGTATCCACGATGCAGGACAAAATCTTAATGTGAAAACGAACGGTTTTTTACCAATTTTTATTTAACTTGCTATGTATGTATGTGTGTGTGTGTGTGTGTGTATCTAATCTGCATAAAAGTTTGTTTTTAAAAGGATTTTAAATTATTGTTATTAGGAATAAGAATGATTTATTTATTGTCATAGTGTAAATAAAATTATTCAGTTACACATTATTGTAAATTAAAGTGAGTTTAATTGGCATTAACAAGTATCTATGTATTGTTAGACGACGAAAATCAACTAAAGGACCGTCGCTAGTATAATCTGTGTTATCTACAGCACTAGATGCCATGTTGACGATGTCACCTGTCAATCGTGACAGATTAGTAAAGTTTCCCGCGCAAAGAGTGCGATAGCGTGCGACTGCGATCATAGATTCGCGCGATTCTGATGGGAAGATTGACGAGCACCACGCTGTGTTCTTATAAGATCCGTTTAGAATAAACTTTTCAGTATTTAAGTATTGAGTATTTATTACTTTAAAGTATGTATATTGTTAACACAACATAGATAATATAGTAGATTATTTATATTTTATAATAGCTTTTGTAAAAGAAAATGAGAATTGAAGAAATAATGGGAATTATAAGTGATGACCTTCTTCCGCACCATTTTACCCACTTTGCTCAGCATCTATTGATCGTAGCGTGATGTTGCATACCCAATACCCTTCCTCGATAAATGGGCTATCCAATACAAAAAGAATTTTTCAAATCGGACCAGACGTTCCTGAGATTTGCGCGTTCTAACAAACTATTCAGTTCTATATAGTAGTCTAAGATAAATGTTTGTGTTTCAACAGAAGGCAATGAAAACAACTATTAGACACGTATTTTTTTATTTTGGTGTATAATAAAATGATACTTAGATATAACGAATCAAAGTATAGGTGTGGGGGCTGAAACGTCATTTCTACGTATCAAATGTACAAAGAAGTGACGTCACGCAACATTTCAAATCAATATATCGTCGAAAGTATTCGTTTCTGTAAGAAAATAAAAAATACGTGTCTAATGATTTAAAATAATCTACCAGACGGACATTAAAATAAAAATTAGTTATCTACCCTATTATAGGTTAATTAAGTTCTGAAATAAAAATGCATTTACTATCATATAAGGGTAATTTATTTATTTATTTGTATATTACAGTAAAAAAATGTATAAAACATTCGGACGGAGTTTCATTTTTTCCTTACAATATAAAAAAATAATGTCAAAAATATTATATAAATTTCATATAAATTATAATTGGAATGTATAATGTAGATTCGATTCCTGTTTTTATTTTAACATTTTAACATTTGTATATATAAAAAAAAATATCTTATTTTTGAGCTCTACACATCACATTACAGTTTATAATACAAGTCAATATAAAAATATAATATTATTTCAAAAAAATAACATGACATCTATATTCTTTTTCGAAAATAAACAGTTTTGTATCCTATGAGATTCACAAAAAAAAAATATATTTACAAAAAAAAATGTCGAAAAAAAATTAAAAGTATAAAAAATTTTAAAGCTTAAAATTGTAAAGATCATTGATATACTTACAATTTATCACAATTATTTATTAAATATACATAATTATAATTATATACACAACATACCCTGAAGGGCAGCAGGGCATATGAGATACAAATCATCCATAATTACGTCACACTTTAAGGGGGACGGAGGGGTTCACGAAGTGTGACATTGTGTGACAAGGGGGACGGAGGGATTCTCACCTCAACTTCGTGACGACACATTTATAAACTTATGATCTGTGTCAAAACACGAATTTTAAAGTATTAATTTACGAAAACCTCAAAAACGTACTAAACTCACTCTAATTGTTTGATATGATGTTAATATTATAAAAAAATATTTTGGCACCGCTATTTTGCTTAAATATTTTCTATATGTGTAAATTTGCAAAGTGTGACGTCACACTAGAAAGCGGAGTCTCTCACAATTGTGACCAGGTGTGACGGACGAAGAAGGGAAGGGGGGGAAGGGACGGACAGCCAAAGATGGCAAAGGGGGAGAAAAATCATGAAAATTGTGTGACATAATTTATGGGTGACCCCCAACTGCCCATAGACGCCGTGATATCAAAAACTACTAGGGGCGCCTCTATGTTTAATTCACCTCTGCAAAAGAATTGGTGTACATATAAAATGTTACGTCAACTAAGGTTGGTGATAAATGACCAGATGTTTTTTTCTGAAATAAATCAGTAAACACTAAAAGCGTTACAAGCGTTACCGGCGTTTTAGGGATTAGAAATTTGAGGATTGTTGGGTATTCAGGGATTGAGGAGATTGGGGAGGGATATTTTTTTATTATTTTTTTTATATTTGATGGGATTTGACCACTATCTCGGCTGGTGGTAAGCGATGATGCGGTCTACGATGGAGCACGTCGACCGGCTATTACTTTATGCCTCCGGTAACCTCACACGACGAAGCACAACGACTAGTTAATAGGGGGTGAATTTGTCATTCACTGGTCATAAAAACCGAGCAAGATTATTCCATAGATACTGGATTGCAATTGGTTTTTTATTTTGTCCGATTGTTCGTCAGCTAGATACTCGTATAATAAAAAGGAACTTTAAAAAGAAACTTGGTATTTAGATAAAGGGACAAAAGCTTAGCAAAGAACATCTTCACGCCATTTCTATGTGCTTATGAACGTTATATGCAAAAAACGATAGTTTTTGAATGAGTGAAAAGAGAAAGAAAAAATGCTTATATAAAAATATTTTTCACTCACATACACCGTTAAATTTGAATCGTTTTAATCCCATGGAGGTTCGAACTGGTCCAGGAAACACTATCGATTTGTAAAGATAAAATTAAAAAATAAAGTACTTTTTTTTTAATAACTCGAATCAATTCTCGCATGAGTGAATAAATAATGCGAACCGTTAGTACAGTTATTTCGGTCCTAAGCCCGTAAAAGTATGAAGGAAAATTTGGAATCAATTTATTTGTTTACCTACGCAAACATCAGTTGATCGAGTCAATAACCTTATGCTTGATCGGGCCGTGTAGGTACCTACACTGCCCGATACGCAACGACCGACGACGACGTAGGTAACTATCTCGTGGCGCAACTTTTGGTTTCATACATTTTGCGAGTATAATCTTATCATTTGCTAATTTATTTATTTTTTATGTTAAACCGAAGTACAAGCTTGTAATCAGTAGTATTCTGTTAGTTAAACCACAGGTCCATGGGATTAAAACGACTAAAATTTAACGGTGTAGCTGACGGACTTAGATAAATACTTAATACAATCGTCTTTTATACATGTTTTTTTTTTCAATTTGAATCTTTGTGTTCGGAACTATGGGGATGTTTTTTTACAGTCAAAAATAAATTATTTTAACTTATTATATGAACACATTACAATTTAAAAAAAAATATCAATATTTTCTTAATTTCTTTGTTTAAACACTTGAGTTTTCTATATTTTTATCTTGTAAAACAAAAAAAAACGTCAATCTCAAAAAAAAATAGAAAAAAAAAATTTTTTTTTACCTTATCAAAAACATTTCGATTTCATTCCTATACTTTGAATGTATATTTAAAATCAGCTAATGATCGATAGTTATCCACAATAAAGATGATGATAGAGTATAAAAATTAAAAATCTAATTACATAGTCCATGAAAAAGTATTAGACATGTATTTTTTTGTCATACAAGAAAACAATACTTAGATAAAACGACTCAAAGTTTAAGTGTGACCTAGCTACGTCATTTCTACGCATAAAACGTTCCTAGAAGTGACGTCACGCGCATTTCAAATCAATACATCGTCGAAAGTATTGGTTTCTGTAAGAAAATAAAAAATAAGTGTCTAATATCTTTATATACATAATTCTTCTGTGAGTGTGTATGTCCCTGAACTTCTCTCAAACGACTGGACCGATTTTGATAAAAAATTTTGTGTGTGTTCAAGGTGATCTGGGAATGGTTTAGATTCACAAATCAGCCCGGCAGATGGCGCTGCAGTCGATATCTAGGTTACTTATCCTAAACTAATCTGAATGAATTTTTGTTTAAACATTCAAATGGATATGCAGGACAACGTCTGTCGGGTCCGCTAGTTTTTAAATAATCTACCAGACGGACGTTGAAATGAAAATTAGTAAAAAAAAACTACAAATCATCAGTTAATTTTAAGCATACACTCAAAAATATACACAATGTAATCAAAATTGAGTCGCTAACTAAATTTAAAACATTGTTACCGAACCAGGAATAGTGAACTTTCTTCTTGGTCAACCGGCGCTTGTCAACGTTTAGTTTTCTGGGCCACGAGTGAAAATCGTCTAATACCTTTTGACATTGAGACGGGTGCCATTTTCTAGGGGATCCATTAGAATTTTTCCCCTGTATGCATATTTCATGGTCTTTCTTATCCTGTAGGGAGATCTTTACGTCTTCTTCTATCGGTATGGTTAAAGAGCGTAGATTGTAAGCAACGTCGGATGAATATAGTAGTTTATTTTCGCTATCCCTGAGGTATAGTTTGAAGTCGCCGATGTCTTCGTTCGATGGTATGAACCAGTGGACGTAGATTGATGTTTGAGAGCTGTGAAATAAAAAAAATACTTTTAATAAAATACTGAATTTGAAAAAGCGCTTTTACAAATCGACATCTTTATATATATAATTCTTCTGTGAGTGTGTGTCACTGAAATTCTCTCAAACGACTGGACCGATTTTGACGAAATTTTTTGTGTGTGTTCAAGGGGATCTGGGAATGGCTTAGATTCACAAATCAGCCCGGCAGATGGCGCTGCAGTCGATGTTTAGGTTATTTATCCTAAACAGCTGAACTAATTTGAATGAATTTTTGTTTATACATTCAAGTTGATATGCAGGACAACGTCTGTATCGTATCTGATTACTATGAGAAAAAATGCCGAAACAAACTCAGAAGTTCGTCTCTTTTAAAGTCTAGTCCAGACAAATATAAATTATTACCCGCGGCTTCGCTCGCGTCACAAAAGGATGAAAGTAGCCTATACCAATACACACAGCGCCATCTATACGAATACTTTTGTTTTCCGTCGGGAATACCAAAAATTTCCGGGATAAAAGTACCCTATTATTTAATCCGGACTTCTATTTTACGTCTGCAAAAATTCAAAGCAATCTGTTTAGAAATTACGGCGTGAAACCGGAAGAAACAAACAAACAAACTCACTTTCCCATTTATAATAGTAAGGATGTGGGAACACCGTGCTTTATAAGAACTAATTTTTACAGCAAAAAATGTCTAGCGCAACGTAATTGATTTTTCAAAATCTTTTTTTTTGTCTCTCCTAAACCTTTAACTGTTTCCCGATACGGAGCTGTGGAAGGCCAAACAGGGTGCCGGGGCTCCGGCTCGAAGCAGGAGAAGGAACGGGGTGGTTTTAGTCAATAAGAGTCTGACACACCCTCCCGCATCACCCAGGCGGGAGAAGTCAAAAAAAAGAAGAAAAAAATAACCTTTAACTGTTCTTTTGGTAAAAGCAGTACAATAATAAAATTATTAGCTACCAATAACACATTTACGAACTTAAATATTGACACAACTGAAAAAAACATAGATTAGCGAGGTCAATGTACCCCAATCTGTCAATATTTTCATTGTAGTTTCGACCTAATATCAATAAAACAAAGTTGAGAATCTAATAAAGTAATTCGACAGAATGGTATATATTAACATGATGGTGACTGTACAAAAATTAAGCAATGGCTAATTTCGGCGCGTTCAAGCAAGTCTTCGGTAGTATAGTGGTCAGTATCCCCGCCTGTCACGCGGGAGACCGGGGTTCGATTCCCCGCCGGAGAGATTCTTTTTGTGTCGTCTTATATTTTGTTTTTGAACATATTCAGTGTTTATCGAAGCTGTTTTTAAACGAAGTGTAATTTTATATTAATATGAGAAAACCAATTATTTTTATTTACGTTCAAAAGTGCCATCCTGGTCTAATTGAAATAAATGATTTTGACTTGGACTTTGAAATCATGATATTCATAACTTGAAATCTTGACAATATGGTTGGCTGGTAGAGAATGCCATTCGGCATTAAGTCAGCCATTGTATACATTTGTACAAAAAGTGTTAATTAATAATAATAATAACGATATAAGTCTCGACATCCATCTTAGGAGGCTGGCGTTAGGTGGATGGATCAAGGGCCTGATACAGAAGGCAGTGCTCCTTGAAACGGCACGTATCGTGAGGAGGTTTCTGTCTCTGGAGCCCTAACCACCGGTAGCTTCGGCCATGCTCCCGCTACTGGTCGGCTCTATTTTTTATATTTTTAAATATTATTTTTTTTATTTTGTAAGTAGTAAATTTAAAAATGTAATTTATAGAGAATTTTAAATAAATATATTTTTATTAAATATATATAATAATAAATAATAACGAAATTATTAAGATATTATTAAGAAGGTGTAGAAAGGCTAGAAGGGCCTACAACAGATAGATTTAAGAAGCTGCATGTCAGACGTGGGGCTTAATAAAGCTTCTAATAATAATTTGTTCTGTATTTGTATATGTGTATGTATTATTTTATTTTTGTACTCGTGTGTTACTACTAACATAGTTTTTTTAAATTTTGTACCGTTTACTAACACTCTATGGGCTGTCGACGCCTGAAAATAAAAGATTTATATTTTTATTTTTTATTTATTTTATTACTAGCTTTTACCCGCGGCTTCGCTCGCGTCACAAAAGGATAAAAAGCCTTAGCCTATGTGACATATACAAATACACACAGCGCCATCTATACCAATACTTTTGTTTTCCCTCGGGAATATCATTTTTTCCGGGATAAAAATTACCCTATTATTTAATCCAGACTTCTAACTTTACGTCTGCAAAATTTCAAAGCAATCGGTTTAGTAGTTACGGTGCGACGGTAGAACAAACAAACAAACTCACTTTTCGATTTATAATACCTATAAGTAAGGATATAGTAAACATTAAATCAATGATCATCAGTCATTGATTTGAATTTCACGGCTTTACTAGCTATAGCAAGTCTTGAATCATTTTTATCGATTTTTATTTAATTTATGTCTTATTCACTTTCTTTTATTTTATGGAATAGGAGGCAAACGAGCAGACGCATCACCTGATGGTAAGTAATCAGCGCCGACCATGGACACCCGCAACACCAGAGGAGTCACAGGTGCGTTGCCGGCCTTTTAAAAAGGAGTACGCTTTTTTCTTGAAGGTTTGAAGGTCGTATCGGTTCGGAAATACCGCCGACGACAGATCATTCCACAGTTTTGCTGTGCAAGGCAGAAAGCTACGTGAGAAGCGCACAGTTGTGGCCTGCCAACCATCTATATGATGGGGATGCATATGCTGTCGTGAGGGTCGATGGCGAAAAGATGCGGCAGGTATCAGGTCAAACAATTCCTCAGAGCACTCCCCGAGGTATAAGCGGGAGAAAATGCACAACGAAGCTACATCTCTACGCATTAACAAAATGTCTAGCCGGTTTTACATAAAAATTATACCATGAAATCTCTCTATTTGGGACGTGATCGTGATAGACAAATGAAGCAACATAATTACATTTGTATGAATAAAGACTGCCTCATTGGCCGAGTGGTCGCAAGTGCGACTGCCGGGCAAGGGGTCTCGGGTTCGATTCCCGGGTCGGGCAAAGTACAACTGGGTTTTTTAAAAAAAATCTCAGTAGTAGTACGGAGTCTGGAATTGTGCCCGGTATATGGCAATAGGCTCACCAAATGGGATTCATAACATAAATAGTGAAAAGTGGGTGTTACATAGTACAGAGGCATAATGTGCACCTCTGCCTACCCCTTCGGGGATAAAAGGTGTGATGATATGATGATGGTATGAATAAAAAAAATTGATTCCCAGGTCGGGCAAAGTACTACTGGGTTTTTTAAACAAAATCTCAGTAGTAGCACGGAGTCTGGAATTGTATCTATTACATGGTACTTATGACATAAAAAATAGTGAAAAGTGGGTGTTACATTGTACAGTGGCATTAAGTGCCGTAATGTGTACCTCTGCCTACCCCTTTTTTTTAAGGGGGGGAAATCATCCAATGCCTTCTCCCGCCTGGGTGAGGCGGAAGGGAGTGTCAGACTCTTACTGACTAAAAACCACCCCGTTCCTTCTCCTGCACGTCGAGCCGAAGCCCCGGTTACCCGTTAGGTTCTCTGCGACTCCGAATCGGCATCGGCCCTTGCCTACCCCTTCGGAGATAAAAGTCGTGGTGTTATGTGTAGATATTATCCGAAATCTACAATAACGATTTATAATAATTTCATTTCATTTCAAATCGTTTGATTTAAACCTACTCTTTACAATGATATTTACTTATGAGCTACACAGGTAAACGTATTGTGAAACACTTTAGATTCCACGCTAACAAAGAATGTGCCATTATAACTACAAACAAAAAATTTCAAAAAAAAATCTTAAAACATACAAAATCAACACAAAAAACTATAATAAATATCAAATTATATCAAAAAATGAAAATAAACTGCAAAAAAAATGTTACAAATAACAAAAAGAATCTCTCCGGCGGGGAATCGAACCCCGGTCTCCCGCGTGACAGGCGGGGATACTGACCACTATACTACCGAAGACTTGCTAAGAGCGACGAAATTAGCTACCTGTTGTTACAACAAAATATTTTTGTTACAATTTTAGTATTATCTTATTAAAATGCTTATATCGCAATAAGATAGATAAAGCCGTATATTATAGGGATATAACGACATAGGCTAGCCGAGTGGTTGCAAGTGCGACTGCCGGGCAAGGGGTCTCGGGTTCAATTCCCGGGTCAGGCAAAGAATTACTGTGATTTTTTTTTAATTCCCAGTAGTAGCAGGGAGTCTGGATTGTGCCCGGTATATGGCAATAGGCTCACCCCCTATGGCATTAACCTCTTCGGGGATAAAAGGCGTGATGTTATGTTATGTGTAAAATAAAAAAAACAACTTACTATTGTATATCCCGGAAAGCTAAATCCGGTTCATTGATAAAATCAAAAGCATTTTCCGCATCAGTGTTGCTATACTCCATAATTTTATTGTCAACCTCAGTGTTGCCGGTGCACAATAATCTGTCTTCGTCCACAGATAATATATTCTCGTTTTCGAGCGTTATTGGCTCAGAACAAGTGAGATTTTGATATTTTTCGTCTGTTCTCAAGGAAGACGGTTTCATGTGGTTCAGGTAGTGTTTCAAAGGTCGCGTGAAGCAATCACATTTTAATTGGTTTCCTGTAAAACAACATTTTATTAGATTAATTAAAAATCGCGGGTTACTCACGTGAATATACTGAGAAAAGCTCTACTAATTTCGTTATTGCTTATAATTTTTTTGTATTTTAAAACATACATTAATTTTTCACCTTAATAGTTCGTTCTTTTAAGTTATTATTAATGTTTTTAATTTTTTTTTTCATTCATAAGACAACGTAGACGACGTAGACATAATAATACAAAAACCGGTTATTTCTGGCTTTTGACATATAAAAGTAAATTACATCAAGACTGCACTGAGAATTCCAGTTTCAACCAGGAGTCGAACTTAAGTCGAATTACTCCAAATCTCCAAATAACACGACCCGGGAATCGAACCCCACATCGAAAATAAAGAATCATCTACTTAGTCGATTCCCTCCTACTGAGGATCGTAATTGCCTCTGATTTTGCTCACTAGATGTCGCCACTAAACGAGCAGACGGTGATCCGTCTGCTCGTTTCCATCTGGTCCATCAGGTGATCCTGATGGTAAGCAATCGGCATCGCCCATGGACACTCGGAACACCAAGGCGTTACAATTACAAGTGCGTTACCGGTTTTTGGGGATTAGGAGTTTGAGGGTTATTGAGGATTCAGGGATTGGGGTGATTGGAGAAGGGGGAGGGTAATTGGGACTCCGGTAACCTCCCTCACACGACGAAACATAACCAAAGCCTTGTTTCACGTATGTTTTCTGCTCGGCCGTGGTATCACTCCGGTCGAGCCGGCCCATTCGTGCCGAAGCATGGCTCTCCCACATAAAACCATAAAGAGCGATGGGATAGAGAAGTGTGCTAAATTCCAATAGTAGGTAATTTAATACTTTAATTGTAATGTAGAGAATCTAGTTTACTTATGGCATCGAGCATTTCTTTCTTTATTGAAACAAAGAGTTTCCTTTTTCTTGTATAGAAGCACTAATTCTATGGATTGTCAGTATGCATATGTGAGCACCATATTAGACTGTAAGATTTTTTATTTTATTTTAGTAAGTTATTAGTATAATGCGTCAAGCGTGCCTTTGCATTGTTCTTACATATGCGTACAGTATTGAAATATGTATCAGAGACATTGTAGAACATACTTTTTTAAAAAAGAGTAACGAATGGAGTTTCTTGCTCGATCTTCTCCATTCGAATCTACATTTTGGAATGAGCACCTAGCTTCACCTAGCTTCACTGACGGACTGACTGACAGACAATTATTTATTTTGTATTTATTGACGTTTCAAAAGTACTAAACTATGGTTTAATTGAAATAAATGCTTTGACTTTGACTTTGCTAAAGAGATATAACTATGACACTTACCTTGAAACAAAATGACAGTACCCTCCTTTATAATCTTTTTGACCAACTCAGGCTCGAAGCTGATTAGTTGGTTGTTTCTTAAATCTAACAACTTCAAGTGTTTCGCCGCTATTATATTTGGGGTAGGCAGGGATTGCAGTGAATTGTTGTATAAGTGTAACTCTGTTATGTTCTCTGGTAATGTGAACTTTATTTCCGCTGTGAAAAAATAAGAAAAACAATTAAATAATATTATGGTTTTAAAACTGCGAAAGAATTGGTTGAGAATTCTTTTTGAACAATTATTTTTATATATTTGACTAGCAGCCCGTCCCGGCTTCTCACGGGGTAGAAAATTATTTATTTTTGGAAATTTGGATTGTTGTAGTGACATAACTACAATAGTTGGACATATGCTACCGCGGAGTTTTTTGAAAATGAAATGTAGCCTATGTCAAATTGGAAGAATGTAGCATTCTATTGGTGAAAGAATTTTTTAAATCGGCCCATTACTTTTTGAGCCTATTCATTACAAACATACAAAAATAGGTACAAATCTTTCCTCATTATAATATTAGTATAGATATAGACATAGATGGGCCGACGTTTGACCACTATCTCGCCTGGTGGTAAGTGATGATGCGGCCTACGATGGAGCACGTCGACCCATAAGCAACCTATTAACTCGGGCCTTGAAGACTCCCAGGTTTTTTTTTTTTTTTTTTAATATTATAGATTATTTCTCCACGGACTCTAGGTCCGTGCCCTTGTCATACAGTTTTTTAATTATAATGCATCTAGTCAATTTTTATAAAGTAAAGAGGGAACCTAGTTACATACTACAATTAACTACATCTATAATTACTAGCAAAAGTATAGGTTACATAATAATTAGGCACTATTTATTTATTTCTATTTCAAAGGCTTTATGAAACCAGCCCACCAACAAGATGGGAGAGCCGACCTGACCCAGCGGAAGGCACCCGTTCACGAGTATGACGTGTGTGTCAGCAATTGGTCCGGTCAACCTTTTTATTGGGAACGGAACAACCCAACACACAGCGCCACCGACTGTAGGACATTTATGTGTGCATGACGCCTCAACCCCTGCCACATGGGCCGATTCCAATAAAGCCATAGTCCAAAGTCAATTGGTCATATTCTATTTCTACATGTTTCTGCACACACATTTCCTCATGTTGCATTCGTCTCATCACAAGCAACACTCCCCGCCCAAGAGAGCACCCATGACTGCCGCGTCCCTGTGTTTGATGGCCATTTTCAGGTTGTAGTCCTTAATACCTTGCTCACCCTCATCAGCCGCCTTCCTGATAGTTTGCTTATCGCGTCTTCACTGTTGTCTGTGTAATAGATGCAACCATGCGTGTTGACGCGATATTGCTACTACCGCGTGTGGTACGCTGTCATGTATTTGATGTTTCTTTGTTGCTGTGTTGACAACAATCACATTCGCACACGAAAGTCCCGTGCCTCGTGTATCGTGAGCACGCGTGATCCCACAGTCGACCCGTATCCCTGGTTCTTAATGGATTCCTTCTCTGCCTGAGTGTGTACCAGGTATAAAGTGTCGGGGAGTGACTTTGGAATCATCGCCCCCAGAACCTTTTTACTCGAGGGATCTCACGAACGACCTGGACGAATATATGCCACTGTAAACTGTGCTGAGGGCATACGCCACATCCATTGGATTTCTGTGGGTACACATCAATTCCTGGCTTATGGGCGTGATATATGTAGGGCGGCTGTAGAGTAGAGGGAAGAGGTTATCACGATCTATAAACGGAAGCTGATTTATGTCACCAATTAGAAGGACTTCCTTGGCTCGAGTTATTCGGGCGGCCATCACAACGGCTCCAAAGTGGTTCATGAGAGCCTCATCTACCATTAGTCGATGGCAGCTCTCTCGCTCCCCCAAGCCGTTTACTAGGATGGACGCCATTGTTCGAACCCTAGATTTGACGAGTCCTCCGATTCGGCAGGATAGTTTGCCTCTGAGGTCATTTGCTGCTTCGGTTGTCGTGGTGACAATTAGATCTTTGCCCGCTTCAAATTGATCTACTATCCATGTCGTTTTTCCGCAACCAGGGACGCCATTTGTCCAGCGAAACGTCGGAGTATGCCAGTCTCCAAAAACTTCGCCGTCTGATCCAGAATCAGAAATGGATCTTGCCATCTCTAATATTCTATCGTCCAGCATAATTCTGGTGCATTTGGCAACCACTACTAGGGAATCCCCTGGAGGAGTTTTAAACTTTAACACTCCGCATCGATCGGATTCCCTCTCGTCCAGAGACACAAATCCGGCAGTTGCGTTATAAGCAGCCATACTTCGAGTTATAGAGGTTCCTCTCAGTACCCTCGAGGTGTTGTTGTCGTATATGACTGCTTCTGCTGCTTCGAGTCTATCGTTCAGTATTAGCTCGTTTCCTTGCAGGTAAGTCTGCAGAATGGATTCGCATTTCCGCATGTTGACCTGCCTGGTTGCCTCCACCACTGCGGTAAACTCGAGAAAAGCATTTACGACATGGTCTCTGGTAGTGGACGCTTGTCGAAGCCTCGGCGGACAAACGTGACCCATAGCTGCTCTTGTTGGTGATGACCTGGGGGGAGGAGACTGTATTTGTGCGCCTCCTGATCCTTGAGCAGATTTAACCACATTTTTTCTGAAGGGTGACGAAATCAGTCCGGTTACTGAGCATATGGCCGCTGTTATTGCCCACACTCTACCTCGTGATTCTAATTTTTTATTTTCCCTCTCGGTGTTTTGTTGGTGTTGTTGCAGAGCGCTTTGTTGCCTATATCTTTGTTGTAGACGCTCTGAGCCGCTTGGAGAATCCCCCTAGCGCGTATCGAACTGGCTTTTTGAGGAAACTCAAGTCCTCACCCCTGTTCTCGTACACGATGACTTCATGATGTTCTGAAGCCCTGACGCATCCTATAAGGTCTGCCGTTCTCCCCTTCTCATAAGCTACCACGGCAGCGTCCACACTAATTATTCTGGGACTCATACCCTCGACCTCTCCCCGCCCACCCATGTCCGACAGCACACCGCAAGCTTGTTCAAAACAAGTCATTAAGTCGACGCTGGAGAACATTACAATTGTTTTATTGCGTGTTCGCAGTAGTCGACAGCTCCGACCCAACAGTTGCATTTCTGGCAGCGCATCGTATGTTTTGCGATTCCCAGGTTAAACCCTTCAGAAATACAGTCTCTGGCAAACAATTCCACTCCTTAGCAGTACGCACAAGGAAGCCTGATGCGAAGCGCTTCGTGCGTGTGGGTGGAACATCTACCGTGAATCGGTGACGCTTCGCCGGTTGTCTTGTGGTACGATGATGGAAAGGATTAGGGGGAATCAAGTTGTGCAATTCCCTATACTATACTGAATCAATTTCAGTTTTGATATCTATATCAAATAAGTTCATCACAATACAAAATGTCGTTTCATACGTTTTTTTATTATTAGGTAAGTAAGGAAGGAGATACTTTTTCTGTGGAAAAGTAAAGAATAGAGTGATATTATAGGTCCGTTGGTAACTTTAAGTCTATGAGCATTTTATTTTTGTTCTCTTTCTCGCTCTCTGGCTAGTGTTTAGTTCATTAGTGGACCGTGGGGAGGGTAGATGCGGCGGCAAATGTATCTTAGCTGATCTTTAATACATATTTATCTAAAAATCGCGAGTTACTCATATGAATCCATCAAATATCTAGCACGGCTTGAAACTAGTCGAGTTCCTCGTCAAATAATTACGTGAGTAAGCCGAAAAACATAATAACTAATTTTACTGTGTAATAATAACACAAATATTGACAAAATTAAAAACAAATTAATCAGTTTATACTCACAAGTCCTAGAAACTAAATCCTTGATGTTGTTGTGTGATAGATCTAGTATTTGTAGCGATGTTAGGTTACCTAGGACATCTGAAAAACAAACAGATATATTAAAATTAATTATTTCAATTCTGTACTTGGGGTTCTGTCAATATGTATTCAACCATTCTGTAATTCTGTCATTATGTAAATCAGTCAATCAGTTATTTATCTTTCTTTATATATATAATTCTTCTGTGAGTGTGTATGTCACTGAACTTCTCTCAAACGACTGGACCGATTTTGATGAAATTTTTTGTGTGTTTTCAAGGGGATCTGGGAATGGTTTAGATTCACAAATCAGCCCGGCAGATGGCGCTGCAGTCGTGTATAGGTTATTTATCCTAAACGGCTGAACTAATTTGAATGAATTTTTGTTTATACATTCAAGTGGATATGCAGGACAACGTCTGTTGGGTCCGCTAGTTTATTTATAAGTTACAACAATATAGAGTAACAGTATTATATCTACCAAATCGTCTACAAGTGACTAAATACACAATTTATAGTTAGTTAGTATGCTATTCTGTAATTTTGTCATTTTTTTATGGCATAAGCCAGTAAACGGGCAGACGGATCACCTGATGGTAAGCAATCGGCGTCGCCCATGGACACCTGGAACACCAGAGGCTTAACAAGCGCTTTACCGACCTTTTGGGGATTAGGAGTTTGAGGATCGTAGGGGATTCAGGAATTGGGGAGATTAGGGAAGGGGAGGGTAATTGGGCCTCCGGTAACCTCACTAACACGACAAAACACAACGCAAGCGTTGCTTTACGTCGGTTTTTTGTGAGGCCGTGGTATCACTCCGGTCGAGCCGGCCCATTCGTGAAGACTCGAAAGGTTAAATTTAAAAGTTACAAGTAAGATTATTAGGTGGTTCTCACTGTGGTACGTTCGGTAGCGAGTTGAAGTGCACACTGGTCTACAATTGAATGTCGCGACGGAAAATCGCCCGATATGCATAGTCATCATAATACAAATAAGTTTAATTAACAAGTGTGGGAGAGCCATGCTTCGGCACGAATGGGCCGGCTCGACCGGAGTGATACCACGGCCGAGCAGAAAGCCGACGTGAAGCAACGCTTGCGTTGTGTTTCGTCGTGTGAGGTCACTCTCCCCAATCCCTGAATCCCCAACGATCCTCAAACTCCTAATCCCCAAAAAGCCGGTGACGTACTTGTAACACCTCTGGTGTTCCAAGCATCCATGGGCGACGACGATTGCTTACCATCAGATGATCCGTCTACTCGTTTACCGGCTTATGTATGCCATAAAAAAAACATTAGTGTACATAAACCGTAAAAATACTATAAACAAAAACTTACTATTACGAATATCATTGATGAAGTTCCCAGCTAGGTCCAATTTTGTGACTTTTTTAGCGCCTATAGTAATGTCATGTGTTAAAACAGGAATCTCATTGTAACTCAGATCAATTTCCTGCAGTCTGTAGGGGATCCAGGGACTCGCGGGGAACATCTTCTTCGTTAGGAAACCGAATTTATTGTGACTTAGTATTACCTGGAATTGTAAAAATTAAGGGATTTTATAATCAGCTAAATTCACATAACATAACATCACGCCTTTTATCTTTGAAGGGGTAGGCAAAGGTACACATTACGGCACTTAATGCCACTGTAAGTACAATGTAACACCCACTTTTCACTATTCATGTTAAGAGTCCCATACCGGGCACAATTCCAGACTCCGTGCTATTACTGAAATTTTTTATTAACCAAACCCAGTCATACTTTGCCCGACCCGGGAATCGAACCCGAGACCCCTTGCCCGGCAGTCGCACTTGCAACCACTCGGCCAACGAGGCAGTCAACTATAAAAACATTTTTAATATTAATACCTTATTTATTCTTTCGGCTTTTAATTTAATATTTGGTTACGTACTACATAGTTTGTAAGATGTAGATAAGATATTGTAGTTAATATATTTCTTTTTTTATTTTTAAGTTTATTTTATGTAAAATCACTTTGTCGCGTTAGACTTAATCTGTAATGACAATTGTAATATGTGTGCAATAAATAAATAAATAATATAATCATATTATTACCTTTTCTAAAGACAGACAGTCGTCCAGTAGTCCGTTCGTCTTATTGTCAATCTTTTCCAAATAATTATGTGACAAATCCAGTTTCCTGTAAAATTATTTATTAATTTGTTACTCGCCAACAATCGTTATCGCCTTTACAAACATAGGACTAACAGATCTTGGATGAAACATATTTACTACTAAAAACACTATAAATAATAATAAATTTTAATAAAAATGTATTATTAAATTAGTTTATGTAAATGAGTCGTGGTGGCTCGGAGGTTGAAGACGCCTGCTTCTCATGCATGAGGGTGCGGGTTCGAAACCTACCAACGGCAAGTACCAATGTGACTTTTTCCGAGTTATATGTACTTTCTAAGATTATTTAGACACCACTGACAAACGATGAAGGAAAAACATCGTGAGGAAACCTGGACTTATAATTTCTAATTATAAGTTTGAAATCGCCAACCCGCATTGAGCAAGCGTGGTGATTAATGCTCTAACATTCTCCGTGTAAGAAGAGGCTTTGCTCAGCAGTGGGCATTTATAGGCTGTTGATGATGATGATGTTAATGTGGAAGTAATAAAAACATTGAATTGAAAAATTAAAACAGAAGAATTAGAAGAGAGACGCTGACAACATGCCTATGCTAAAGGGTCACTCAGTGTAAGCCAGGCATACAAGTCACCCAGTACTGATTTTCAGTGGGCACCCATGCAGTGACGCACGGATGGTAAAAATGAATTTCCGTTCGTTAGTCTGGCTAAAATTCGAGAACGGCTGAACCGATTTGCCTAATTTTAGTCTTGAAGTGTTCATGGAAGTCCCGGGAGATTAAAAGGTACGAAAAATTTGTATAGACAGTACGAAGTTTACCGGGTTAGCTGGTAAGTAAATAAAGCTTTATTCGTCATTCAAAAAAACATCTTAAGTAAATTAAAATTTTACTCGCAAATGTTTTTATAATAACTATCGTGAGACGTACTAAATCAACTAAAAATCGCGGGTTACTCACGTGAATATACTGAGAAAAGCTCTACTAGTTTCGAACCATATAGGGGTTCTTCCTCATGAGCAGCGTGCGACGTCGCCTACTAACTAGTAGAGCTTTTCTCAATGTCAGTCACATGGGGTAGACGACTAATTTTTATTTTAATGTCCGTCTGATAGATTATTTAAAAACATTAGACACGTATTTTTTATTTTCTCACAGAAACGAATAGTTTCGAAGATATATTGATTTGAAATGTCGCGTGACGTCACTTCTCAGTACATTTTATACTAAGGAATGACGTTTTAGCCCCCACTCCTAAACTTTGATTCGTTTTATCTAAGTATTGTTTTATTATACGACAAAATAAAAAAATACGTGTCTAATATTTTTTCATTACCTAACTTACGGACTAATTATATTTTTAATTTTCATACCCTGTCATCATCCCCATTAACTAGTAAAGTTATGTATTGTAAGTACATACCTTAAAGCAACCAATCCTTTAAAAGCCTCATTCGGTATATGTTTCAACATGTTGCCACTGAGCGACAAGTCGAGCAACTGTTGCATGCCATTGAACGATCGTTGCGCAACTGTTGTCAACTGGTTGCGCGACAAATCTAACTTGAACATCGTCGGTAGATTACCGAACGCTGATCTACTCAGCTCTGTTAGGTTGTTCTCCTGTAAAATGTGTTAAAAACATTGTTCATTATGGATTTTTTTTATGGCATAAGCCGGTAAACGAGCAGACGGGTCACCTGATGGTAAGCAATCGGCGTCGCCCATGGACACCTGGAACACCAGAGGCGTTACAAGTGCGTTATCAGCCTTTTGGGGATTAGGAGTTTGAGGATCGTTGGGGATTTAAGGATTGGGGGGATTGGGGAAGGGGAGGGTAATTAGGCCTCCGGTAACCTCACTCACACGACGAAACACAACGCAAGCGTTGCTCCACGTCAGTTTTCTGCTCGTTGGTGGTATCACTCCGGTCGAGCCGGCCCAGCAGTGCCAAAGCATGGCTCTCCCACACTTCCATTATTGCGCCCGTCGAGTCGTGGTGGCTAGTGCCTTTAGCCAAACGCCATTTTAGCGCTTGTCTACAGAGAGAGTAGAAATCAAAATATATGGTGATGACACTGACAAGTGTCAAAATTTACGTCAATTCCATATAATTTGGTTTTCTATTCTACATGTAGACAAGCGCTAAATGGCATTTGGCTACAGCTGCCTGGAGTTTTTAAGACCCCCGCCTCTCATGCATGTGCGGGTTCGAACCCTACCAACGGCAAGTACCAATGTGACTATTCCGTGTTATATGTACATACGTTCTGAGATGATATAGACACCACTGACAAACGGTGAAGGAAAACATCGTGAGGAAACCTAAGCTTATAATTTCTAATTATAAGTTTGAAATTGCCAACCCGCATTAAACTGTCAAACACCGCGAGGACACCGGTGACCGCAACCTATTGTTCTTTAATTGTGTCTATAATGACGGTACTCAAAGAGTTAAGCAAGCGTGGCGATTAATGCTCAACCCTCAATTTGGTTAGCAGCAGTGGACACTTATAAGCTGTTGATGATTGCAATTTTAAAAATCACCTAAACTCAGATACGTGGCACTTAACCACGTTTTTTTGTTTTTACCAACCTATAAGTAACACTTGACAGTACAAGTGAAGAGTTAGTTTAGGTGGTACCATACGCTAAGTAACTCTTAATTAAGATATAATTTACGACTAGAGTGGTTGGTGAAAACGGCCAGCTATCTAAATTTTAGCCCCAATCCTTAGGCTCGTCCCAACTTTAATCCCAAATCCCAAACTCAAACCTAGTCCTACACCACAGATGGGGCTCAATCATCACAGATGGGGCCCAATTCGGAGCCGCGGAAGGTCTAACGGGTTGCCGGGGCTCCGGCTCGAAGAACAGGAGTAGGAACGGGGTGGTTTTTAGTCAGTAAGAGTCTGACACTCCCTCCCGCCTCACGCAGGCGGGAAAAACTACTGGATGACTCACCACCCTCAAAAAAAATTGGTTGCCTGTAAAGTCGGTATACGGGCGAAAGTTTTACGTGACAACGACTTTATCTCTCTCACTCTCTCTCTCTCTCGCTCTGTCTCTCTCGCTCTTAGGCGGGCTAACTGTGCCCGAGTGGAAGGGACGCGTGCCTTTCACTTTTTATGTCTGTCTCTCTCGCTCTTAGGCGGGCTAACCATGCCCGAGTGGAAGGGACGCGTGCCTCTCACTCGCTCTCATTGTGAGCGCATAACGTGAGCGGAGCGTAACGCAGTTTCTTGAAGTGTCACTCGGCAAATCAATTTATAAGACGTTGTCACGTCAAAAAAAAATTAAATAGTACAGTACCTGCATATACAAATACTGCAAACTGGTCAACGTGCTCAATGCCTCCCACGGAGGTTTGGTCAACCCGTTGCCCGACAAATCGAGCGACTGTAACGTCAACAAACTGGAGAATGCATCGGACGACAACGAGTCGCCCAACATGTTGGCCGACAAGTTGAGCCGCAGTAGCGCGTTCATTGTTGGCCATGTGCTTGATTTTATTTCTGTCAAGTTGTTGTGGGCCACGTTTAATTCGCTGTAAAATAAAGTTATTTTTTAGTCAGAATTCACTCATAATATTTTATTTATTTAATCTTTAATGTACACAATTTTAATATGGCACATAAGGCGGACTTAATGCCACATGGCATTCTCTACCAGTCAACCTTAATATTTTCATAGAAGATTTGTTATGACTAGCTACCTTTAATAATTACATGACATAACATCACGCCTTTTATCCCCGAAGGGGTAGGCAGAGGTGTACATTATGCCACTGTACAATGTAACACCCACTTTTCACTATTATGTTATGAGTCCCATGTAATAGGGGGTGAGCCTATTGCCATATACCGGGCACAATTCTAGACTCCGTACTACTACTGAGAATTTATAAAAACCCAGTAGTACTTCGCCCGACCCGGGAATCGAAACCGAGACCCCTTGACTAGTAACGTCGGACTTGCAACAACGAGGCTGACTAGCAACTTCTAATAATAATTAAATTGCAGAATGATAAAATTACAGAATGACTTAATTACAAATCGACCTAATTACAGAATTACATAATGACCCAACAATTGATTTACAAAAATACTGAATAACAGAATCACTAAACACATCTACGTCGGGTATGTGACACTCGCGGAAAGAGTAGCGGTGGTCTATAAATAAAATAAAATAAAAAATAAAAAAGCCTGTATTTCTGCTTAAGACAATATACAAAATTTGTTTCTTAGTATTTATTAACTAATTAGCTTGTTTCTTATTGTGTTAGGTATATGTGACACTCGCGGAAAGAGTAGCGGTGGTCGATAACAAAAAATATAAAGCAAAAAATGATGCGACTCACCCCAAACTGATAGGTATCTGAAAGAGTTTCTGTAAATGGTTATAACTGAGATCAATCAGTCGGCAGCTGACTAGTTTGGCCAGACTGCCGCGCGATACATCTGTTAGTTTATTGTGGGATAGGTCCAGTTCCAATATGGTCGGTATTGTACCGAACGTTGCGGGTTTGATCGCCTCCATTGAGTTGTAGCTTAGGTTCAAGAATCTGTCAATAAATTAAAAAAATAACTTCTGTTAGACGACTAAAATGAGAAAGAAAGAAAGAAAAATAATTTATTCGACACCTGACATGGACCACCGAAAATTAACACACAACATAAACATTGAACGGGTCGTGGTGGCCCGGAGGTTTAAGACGCCCACTTCTCATGCATGAGGTGCGGGTTCGAAACCTACCAACGGCAAGTACCAATGTGACTTTTTCCGAGTTATATGTACTTTCTAAGATTATGTAGACACCACTGACAAACGGTGAAGGAAAAACATCGTGAGGAAACCTGGACTTATAATTTCTAATTATAAGTTTGAAATCGCCAACCCGCATTGAGCAAGCGTGGTGATTAATGCTCTAACCTTCTCCGTGTGAGAAGAGGCTTTGCTCAGCAGTGGGCATTTATAGGCTGTTGATGATGATGATGATGAACACGCGATTTTTAGTTAATTTAGTATGTCTCACGATAGTTATTATAAAAACATTCTAACTACTTTTTTATTTAGCTTTGGACGATGTAGCAGAGAAGGCAACTCTTATGGCAGCTGACTGTACATTTTTTGTTCAGCTACTCTTTCCAATTAGTTAAATCTATTGAACTATTTTCACTGTTCAGTATAAAAAGCTACTTAGCACAAATAAGAAGGCGTTGCCTTGATGGATATAGGCTGTTGATGATGATGATGATGATAAACATTGAAAAATAAAAATAAAAAGAAAACAATATAAAAAACATAAAATAACAAAAAAAACAACAATAAAGGCAAAAAAACATTATAAAAAAAAGCAAAATAAAAGAAACAGGGTGGCAGCATGTCCACGACGAAAGGGCTCGCCAACTCAGTATAAGCTGGGCACAGTAAGTACCCAACACTGGTTTTCAGTTGGCACCCCTGCAAAATCAACTAAATGAACGAAACTATTTTAATCTGTGTTAACCCGTCGAGCGTCCGCGTTCATTATGATCCAACGGGTGCACACGTGATATTTGGAGAAAGAAAGAAAGAAAATGCATTTATTTGGCCATTGGCACACGAAAACAAGGATCATTACAATAGAAATAAAACAAATACAGTCAAAATAAAAACAAAACATTAATAATAGATTTTATAAAAGAGAAAGCAACATGGAGCATATTTTCTTATGATCCACCGGGTGCTCTTAAGGACGCTCGAGGGGTTAACAGCACTAGCTGTCATGTTGACGCTGTCATCTGTCAAATGTGATAGCTTAGTAAAGTTTCCCGCGCAAAGAGTTGTAACGGATATTCGGGTTTTATCGAGCATTAGAAAGAAGAAAGAAGGAAATGAATCCCCAACGATCCTCACACTCCTAATCCCCAAAAGGCCAGTAACGCACTTGTAACGCCTCTGGTGTTCCAGGTGTCCATGGGCGACGTCGATTGCTTACCATCAGGTGATCCGTGTGCTTCGTTTAACGGCTTATGCCATAAAAAAACAATAAACTTTTCTGTATTTAATAACGTAACATCACGCCTTTTATCTCCGAAGGGGTAGGCAGAGGAGCACTTTATGTCACTGTACAATATAACGCCCAGTTTTAACAGACAACCTGCCCGGCAGTCGCTCTTATATAACCGCTCAGTAATCAATAAATCGAAAACCCCATCATTTTTACTCATCCCACCTCCCGATTCTCAGTATCCCCCCCCCCCCTTTTAACCACTCAACCATCAAAAAAATACATGAAAAAACCCAACTCACCTAATAGAAAATAGATTTTGAAAAACTGCATTAAAAATATCACTCAAATTATTGTGTGACAAGTCGACTGTATGCAATTCGTATAATTTCGGAAATGCCATCTTTGGTATAGATTCGATTCTGTTGTAGGAAGCATTCAACACTTGTATGCCTGTCATATTATAGATTGGTATCTAAAACACATGAAAAAAAAACATTAAAATATTAACTACTTTTTTATTGTTTTAAAAATCGTTGCCCCACACTAGGATTTTCCCCTGTGTCGTGGGTGCGTTTACAAACATACAAGTTCACATACACATGACACTCAGACCCGGAACAACAATCTGTGGATCACACAAACAGTTGTTCCGTGCGGGAATCGAACCCGCGACACGTTGCGCGGCAGCCAGTTACCCACCACCGTGCCAACCGTGCAGTCAAAAGTACAAAGACTTAAATATGTATATATTTAAGGATTTGGGAATCGAATTTGGAACCATTTATCATAACAACCATGTTATTTTGAAAAAGTTGGTAATCTTGCCTTGCCTAGGATTTTAACCTGAGACCATTTACTGAGTAACATTAGTTTTTTTTAATAGTCACATAACATACCTATATTAATTTATTGACTGTCCAGGGCATCGAACCTTAGACCTTTTGCTTGTCACAATGGCAACTACACGACCATTTATAAATACCAAAAATAAATTACGAGTACGCTCGATAACTTTCGAGCGAAACCACCTAAGAGCTCCAATCAACTTCGAAAACGTACGCACCAAAAAAAATCAACTTACCTGAGAAAAATCCACGAATTTGTTATGCGAAACTTGTAAATGATACGCATAACTATTTTCGTCGAAAGCCCTGGGGTTTAATTTCTCCAAATTATTATGGCTAAAGTCCAACAAAGTCATGTTGTTACAATTTTGGAAAGCCCCCGTCTCTATAGTAGATAAGGCATTGTGTGAAATATTAACTGTAGCTTGATATAAATCTGTAAACGCCTGATTTTCTATAATAGTTATGTTATTTTCAGCCATGTTTATCATCTGAAAAATAAAAATACTTAATTATAGCTTTCACCCGTGGCTTCGCTCGCGTCACAAAAGGATAAAAAATAGCCTATGTGACATACACCAATACACACAGCGCCATCTATACCAATACTTTTGTTTTCCCTCGGGAATATACATTTTTCCGGTATAAAAAGTACCCTATTATTTAATCCGGACTTCTAACTTTACGTCTGCAAAAATTCAATGCAATCGGTTTAGTAGTTACGGCGTGAAGTCGGAACAAACAAACAAACTCACTTTCTGATTTATAATATTATAGTAAGGATTAAAATATTTTGTTTTGACGTTCAAAAGTGCCTTCCTGGTCTAATTGAAATAAATGATTTTTACTTTGACTTTTCACTTTACCCACATGGGAGACAGGCGCGAGGCTTAGGGCATGCAAAACCGGAAATCAGCCAAAATTTTACGATTTTTGAAAACCGGTTTTGAGAGTCAAAACCGGAGCTCAGCTCTCGTCAGGTTTTTCCCATTATTAAGTAACAATTAACATTTTGATTATTATCAACATTTTTTTCGAACACTCCTCAAAAATAATTAATTTTGAGGCATCAAATGTATTCGAACCGAACACAGCCTGCATCCACCTACTTACACGCCTCCCTCCACTACCCCCGCCTGATGCTTAACTAGATCAAATGCTTTTTCGTAGATAAAACATATCAGCACGTCCGTTAATAACTCTTACATATTGACGCCTATTTTGTTGAATTTATCTTGTTTCTTTGTTTTGTTTTTGTTATTAAGTTATTTAAGTTTAGGTTATTCATCGTTTGTAATTAATGTGTTCAAATATATTGAAGAAACTTGGCCCAAAGACACATATCCGTACAAAAAGAAATCCGTACATCAGATTCAGAATAGTTTCTATTTAAACACGATAATGAAATAGACCCATAGGATAGGCTCTTGTACGATTTAGGCATTTGTGCTTGTATGTGTGTGTGACAAATGAACGATTTTAAAGTGAATTTAGTTAAAATTAAAACACGAGAAATATTTGAAGTAATAGAAGGTTAAGTATCTCTATCTCTGTGTCACGTGGTTTTCTTTGTTTACCTTTAGTTAATTACCTAAACAGATGGACTATAGATCAAATGCTTTTTCGTAGTCGATAAAACAATCAGCACGTCCATTAATAACTCTTGCATATTGACGCTAGACTCAACTAGTAACTAGTGACTAATAACTAATGACTAGTGACTTTTACTAATTAAAACACTTACCTCGGCATATTTAACTTGTTGAAACATTTGGAAATCAATTTTCGTAATTTTATTTCTTGCTAGATCAATGGTACCGATTCTAGTGACCGCTGAAAACGTGCCGCGGCCGACGTCTGAAATCTGATTGTCCTGGAGGTAGAGACGCCTGAAAATATTAAAATATACATCTATAATCTTTATATAAATAATTCTGCTGTACGTGTGTATGTCATTGAACTCCTCCTGAACGGTTTGACCGATTTAAATGAATTTTTCTGTACGCGTTTGAGTGGCGCCCTGGATGGTTTAGATTCACAAATCAGCCCGGCAGATGGCGCTACAGTCGTAACTGGGAATTTTCATAAAATCTGATAAATATCCACACTTTGCCCGATGTAGGAATCGAACCCGAGACCACTAGCTCAGCAGTCGCACTTACGACCAATCAACCAACGACACAGACAAACTTGCTTTAATATTTATATCTAATATTAGTTGGGAGTGTGGGAGAGCCATGCTTCGGCACGAATGGGCCGGCTCGACCGGAGTGTTACCACGGCCGAGCAGAAAACCGACGTGAAGCAACGCTTGCGTTGAGTTTTGTCGTGTGAGTGAGATTATCTGAGGTCCGATTATACCGCGACTGGTGTTCCAGGTGTCCATGGGCGACGACGATTGCTTACCATCAGGTGATGCGTAAGTTCGTTTACCGGCTTATGCCATAAAATATATATTATTATCTTACCTCAAAAATCTCATTCCTCTAAAACTATTTGTGTCTAGTTTCTTAATCTTATTGTTGTCCAAATGTACTACTTTTATCACAGTGTTCCTTGCAAACATCCCCCTGGAATATAAATACAAAAATATTATAATAGGTACATCAGTTGCGTTGCGACCCCACAGAATTCATAGAAAATAATTTTCCAAAGAGTATTTGAATTACTGTAGTTGGAAACGTATAAGAAAAATATAATTATTACTTGTTAATTTTACTTAATGTGTATGAATAATCGAAGCCCCCCCCCCCCTTCTATAATCCCCTCGTTTGAGTGGGCAGGCCTCCCGCGAGGAGGACCGATGACATCGCCAGAGGCCAGAGCCAATGGATGCGGGTGGCGAGTTGTCGTTCGACGTGGAGGACTAAGGGGGAGGCCTTTGTCCAGCAGTGGACGTCTTCCAGCTGCTGCTGATGATGATGATGATGTATTTTTTTTTTTTTAAGGGGGGAAAATCATCGAATGACTGCACCCCCCTGGGTGAGGCGGGAGGGAGTGTCAGACTCTTACTGACTAAAAACCACCCCGTTCCTTCTCCTGCACGTCGAGCCGGAGCCCCGGTTACCCGTTAGGTTCTCCGCGACTATGATATATGTACCTCTATTAGGGTACGTGCTCACCTAGGTATTTCTCCAATTTGATTATGACTCGCGTTACACCATCCTAGCTTGGTCAGGTCTCCTATATGACTGCCGTCGAGCTTCGTGATACTGTTGTAACTGAAATAAATATAAATACATACATTTTAATATTATTTATTAGCTGGGGGTAGACAGAAATACACATAATACAATGTAACATCCACTTTTTACTATTTATGTTTTTTAAGGGGGGGGAATATCATCGAATGACTGCTCCCGCCTGGGTGAGGCGGAGCTCCGTGCTACTACTGAGAATTTAAAAACCCAGTAATACTTTGCACGCGCGCGCCTCAAAAAGCCATCAGACCACCACGGATGGGGCCCAATAGGGCTGATGTCGATACGGAGCCGCGGAAGGCCTAACACGTTGCTGGGGCTCCGGCTCGAAGAGCAGAAGTAGGAACGGGGTGGTGTTTAGTGTAAGAGTCTGGACACTCCCTCCCGTCTCACCCAAGGGTAGACGTCATCCGATGATTATCCCCATCAAAAAAATCCTTACTAATATTATAAATCGGAAAGTGAGTTTGTTTGTTTGTTCCACTTTCACGCCGTAACTACTAAACCGATTGCTTTGAATTTTTGCAGACGTAAAGTTAGAAGTCCGGATTAAATAATAGGGTACTTTTTATCCCGGAAAAATTTGATATTCCCGAGGGAAAACAAAAGTATTGGTATAGATGGTGCTGTATGTATTGGTATATGCCACATAGGCTACTTTTTATCCTTTTGTGACGCGAGCGAAGCTGCGGGTAAAAGCTAGTAAATAAGTTTTTCAAAAAATCTATAATCCAATATTTAGGTACCTTAGATCCAAAACTTCAGTGTCCCTTAAACCTTTGAATTGATTCCGTTTCAGTGTTGCCAGCTTGTTGCCGTGTAGATCTAGTTTTTTTAGCTTTTTCAAAACCTGTAATTTTAATTAAAAAACGTTATTCCAAATGTATGAAACAGGCACGATTATTTGCCCAATTAAAAATTCGCAGTAGTAGCACGGAGTCTGGAATTGTGTCCGGTATATGGCAATAGGCTCATCCCTATTTTTTTAATTTTTTTGAGAAAAAGTCGTGGTGGCCCTTAGTTTGAGACGCCCGCTTCTCATGCATGAGGGCGCGACTTCGAAACCTACCAACGGCAAGTACCAATGTGACTTTTTTCGAGTTATATGTACTTTCTAAGATTATCTAGACGCCTCTGACAAACGGTGAAGGAAAACATCGTGAGGAAACCTGGGCTTATAATTTCTAATTATTAGTTTGAAATCGCCAACCCGCATTGAGCAAGCGTGGTGATTAATGCTCAAACCTTCTCCGTGTGAGAAGAGGCTTTGCTCAGCAGTGGCCACTTATAGGCTGTTGATATGTATGATGATGGGTATTACATTGTATAGCGAAATTGAGTGCCGTAATGTGTACCTCTGCCTACCCCTTCGTTATGTATTTACCTGGAATGTTTCTGGTGGCATGTCGGCTATTAATCCGTTTGTTAGGTGCAATCTTTCCAACTTGCCCGCTGCCTCGCTACCCACGAATATATCTTTACCCAACTTAGTCATTTTGTGCCCGTCTATTGAAAGCACTGATAGATTGCCTAAAATCTGAAAGTAAGAAAATGTAGATTAATTAATTCTGGGTTTTTAAAAAAAATCTCAGTAGTAGCACGGAGTCTGGAATTGTGCCCGGTATATGGCAATAGACTCACCCCCTATTACATGGGACTCATAACATAAATAGCGAAAAGTGGGTGTTACATTGTATAGTGGTATAATGTGCACCTCTGCCTACCCCTTCGGGGGTAAAAGGCGTGATGTTATGTTAGATTAATTAAGTCTTTCAATTTCTACCATTTAGTTTACTAGCGAGTTAGCGAGAGTAGAGACTGCCTCGTTGGCCGAGTGGTCGCAAGTGCGACTACCGGGCAAGGGGTCTCGGGTTTGATTCCCGGGTCGGGCTAAGTAATACCGGGTTTAAAAAAAAAATCTCAGTGGTAAAACTCGAGAACGGCTGAACCGATTTGGATAATTTTGGTCTTAAAATGTTCGTGGAAGTCCCGGGAAGGTTTAAAAGGTGAGAAAAATAATTTTGGCTGTACGAAGTTTGTCTCCTATTACATGGGACTCATAACCTAATTGGTGTAAAGTGAATGTGATTACATTGTTATGTTATGATAGTTTATGAATAGAAAGAGAGAAAGAAAGATAAACCATTTATTACGCCACGACACAAGAATACAGGTTTTTTTTTAAACGTTACACCACACTAGGATTTTCTCCTGTGTCGTGTGTGCGTTTACAAACATACAAGTTCACATACACATGACACTCAGACCCGGAACAACAATCTATGGATCACACAAAGTTGTTCCGTGCGGGAATCGAACCCGCGACACGTTGCGCGGCAACCAGTTGCCCAACCACCGCGCCAACCGTGCAGTCGTATTTTTTTCTATTTTTCAGATACACACAAACAGCCCATGGTGCGTCGCAGCGCAAAAGGCTGGAGCTCAGCTTAATACTATAGCCCGGGCACAAAGGCTCGAGTCCACGGCGCTGATACTCAGCACCAGCCCGTAGTAGTACATACGTACTAATTTCTTTTTATGGCATAAGCCGGTAAACGAGCAGGCGGATCACCTGATGGTAAGCAATCGGCGTCGCCCATGGACACCTGGAACACCAAAGGCGTTACAAGCGCGTTACCTGCCTTTCAGGGATTAGGAGTTTGAGGATCGTTGGGGATTCAGGAATTGGGGAGATTGGGGAACGGGAGGGACTCCGGCAACCTCACTTACACGACGAAACACAACCCAAGCGTTGCTTCACGTCGGTTTTCTGTGAGGCCGTGGTATCACTCCGGTCGAGCCGGCCCATTCAAAAATACACTTAAGGTAACGCTGTTCGGAGCACAGCACGATATAAATAATAAAATTAATATAAAAATTAAAACAAAATCAATAGAAACGGTAACTGTCAAAAAACTAAATAAATACATTACGACTTACCATAAAAGCATCTTTAGGAAACTCCTCAATGTTAGTATTAGTCATATAAAGCTCTTGAAGAGTTCTATTCACTCCGGCGAACGCATACTGGTCTATGGTCCTAATGGGAGTGTCTATAATCTCTATAACTCTTATTGTTGATCTGTGGAATAGAGGGCCGAAGAGGTTTGCTGAAAAATAGAAATAACATGTTTAGACTCCTTATATTAAAATTGATTTTAAAAAAGCAGGTTCTCTGTTTAACCTGTATGTATGTGCGTTTGTTTGTCTGCGATTTCCTCGCGAATGGCTGAACCGATTTTCAGAAGTCTTTGTTACACGAGCAGGTATTAGTATAACTCGGTTCATTAAAGAAAGGAATCTAAAATGGCGGTGCTTATCATGTTTTCTAGCTTGCACACTAGTGCCGTCTATACTCACTCTCGCGCGTACCGTAGACATAAAAATAATCCCGGTGAAGGACCGTCTCTTAGATAGTATTAATAAATGAGTTAAAAGTAATATTCGTTCTTTATTTATACCACCAAAATCATAATAAATATCCTCAAAAGTGTTTTTCAAATCTTCAAATAAATACGGCACGATCATGTTTTTATTATTTCTATTTTGAAAAAAATATTCGACTTGAAATTTTATATGCTAACTGTACTACTTGTCGACGCAAGTACAAGCCGCCATTTAAGATTCCTTTCTTTAATGCATCAGTTTATAAGTAAGTATATTAATCCATAGTCTCTGCCTAACCCCACGAGAGACAAGCGAATATGTATGTATATTTAAATCATTTTTATGTACAACTTATTTTTAAAAGTAATTTCATAATATACTCACTAAATTTACACTCATTCAGCACTAATTTCTCGATTGGCAACCCCAAACCAGCAATGTTGCCAAGCCCAACACTTAGTATTGCGAGGCCTGTATTTTCACATCTTATATATAGACCGCTGTCCGACCCCTTTTCACATACACAGGGGTACAGCAGAGTGGTCGTGGAGTCTTTGGGACATGGGTATAAAGGCCCAGGAGGTATGTACTCGGAGTTTGTATATGTTAATAAAGTTGCCAGCGTAAAAAATATTTTTGTGACCATTTTTGTGGGTGAGTGATCTGGAAAAAGAAAGATGTTGTTTAAAATTAGGTTTTTAATATGTAGCTTCGTTTAAAATGCAGTATTCACTTTTAATTTATCTAAAAAAACCACTATTGACTGGTTGAAATTGTATTATCAATTCAGTAGGTAGTAAATATTCCTCATAGGTAAGTCTATCTAGTGTTGGAAACTGCATAAAAATTGATTCAGTAATGTTTGAGTTTATCGCAATCAGACAGACAAAGATGGCACTGTTCATTCATACCAATAGTCTCATAAGACTGAATTATTTATTTAATAATACCTAGTACATACTTAGGCTACTTATTCCTGTAGACCTGAGATAGGAAAAGTATGTAATAAAAACTAAAGACAATGTGCATTGACAGTGGACACAATTGGTAATATAACTAAATTGAATCTATTTCCTTTAGTCACAATTATTGCGTCAAATTGGTTTATAATTTTTTTTAATATAAATAAATATTATCGATAGACAGAACAAACGATGACGGGTAAACATGTAACTCCGAAACCAGAGACTTTTGACCGTAGTGGTAATAATAATAAGTTTTATTCTGCATAAGAGTACCTATCTATAGAGCGGTAACTTATTCCTATTGAGAGGTGGGCCCAACGCAACATTATTCCACATCCTTTAATACATATCATTTAAGTAACTATAATAACATTTTCCCTACAAAGAATTGAGGCTAGCCCCTATAATAACCAATAACAGTTATGAAAAGAGCTTTCCAACGACATACGTCTGGTCGATATTGGTTGGTAGGTACATTCAGTCTGTCATCTTTTTGAAAAGTCTTTTTATAAGGAATTAAATACAAGGTCCATATAAAACAGTGTCCCATTAATAAATTAATGAAAATAATTAATCAAGACACGTTTGAACCACTCCTATATGAATATCTAAAATATTAGAAATATTTGTTTAATAAAGTTTTCATGACCACTTCCGTTGTTCCATATACCTTCAATAGATTAAACAAAAAATATTTTTCTATCAAAACAATTATAAAAGTGTTATTTATATTTAACAAACAGGAATAATTTACCTATCAGCTTACGACATAAAAATAAATATAAACACGTATAATTAACTTGAAGCGCTATTTTGATGAAATAAAAGTTGTAGAAAGAAAATTATTAGCAAAAAAATGTTAGCGCAATAAAAACTTTGTTCTAAATTTAAATTGTAGTAAAGTATTACATTCTTAATACTGTTTAAAGGACAATGTGACGACAAAGTTACCAAGGTTAACTATAAGTTCGTAATTTAAGTCCGATTCATAAGTTAATTCAAAGGTCGAAAGAACCTGTTTAAGTTACATTACAGCACACATAAGTAAAGCAACTTAATCATGATTAATCTACGTCTAATTATTATTATAAAATACGTATAAAATCACTTGCATTTCAAACAAATCATAACTTTAAAATAGTTTGCAAACTACGAAAAACTTTCACTTTTAAAATATAGCTTTTAACTAAATACCTGTGCTTAATCCTTGATACAACATGGATTACGCAAAATCCTGCAGTTGATGTGTGGTTTTCTAAATTCGTAACATAATTATTACGTTAATTTATACGTAATATATTTGCTTAGAAAACTGCGTAACTTCACCCCACCATGGTCAACACGGAACTAAATTACAGATTAAAAATCGTATATAGGGTCAAACATAGACAAACTCACAAGTGTCATGTGTCAATCTATCAGCTGTCAAAAGTATGGAATAGATAAGGAATCATTTTTCTACTCCTGCATAGGCAGCATAGGCAAAGGTTTCAGTATGCTTCTTCGTGGTTACTTCTTACAATAACTATTTTTTTTATCTCTAGTATAGTTATTTTGTTAATTATATATTTTTAATATAAAAAAAGTGGTTTGAATTGAATCGTTGGTCTTGAAATGTTTATGGAAGTCCAGGGAAGGTTTAAAAGGTGAGAAGTTCAGGCACGAAAATTCCGGATCAGCTAGTTAATAATAAAATGAATGGATATTAGTTGCTCTAGGCAATGAAGTAGGTACCTAGGACTCGTCCTCGACAGTCGGTGGAACTTCGTGGAGCACTTCCGACGTTTGGCTCCAAAGTTGGAAAGGACCTCGGGGTGCCTCCTTGCTGGATTACCGCCGTGGGAATGTGAGGTCTGAAAGTGAAGTTGCTCGCGCGCGTTTTCTCTCTGCACGTGGAGGCACGTCACCGGGGCGAAGCTCCACTGCCACGGCAGATAAGTGCGTGGCGGGAAGAGCTCCGGCGCGATCTCGTGGCGGAATGGCAGCAACGACTGTCGCAACAGAGGGCTGGGCTCGCTGCCATCGCAACGGTAAGTCCCCTCTTTGAGGAGTGGCTTGAGAGACGCCACGGCGGGAGCTGCGGGAGGTACCTGTCTGATAGGGCGGGAGGAAACGCCCGGGTATCATCAATGTGAGGACCGCCCTGAGGAGATGCCCTGTGTGGGCTGAACAACGCCGTGCCCTCAAGGACGTGATCGGCGACGGCGACCTCTCACGTCCGGCCTTAGTGCGGGCCATGATGTGGAGCGAGGGGACTGGGATGCCGTCTCCTTCTTTTGCGAAGCAGTCATGCTAGCTAAGGAGGAGGCGGGGCGCATGACGCAGCGAAGCGCTGTCTACCTGAGGCCTTTTATCAAGGTTAAAAAGGGGAGGTACTATGATCGGATAATTGTTTATTCAAGAGATATGTTCTGAAGGGTAGGTCATGGTGATTCAGATGAAGCACAATTCGAAGTCAAATCAGTTCCAGTTGTCACTGCATAAAACTCTTTCTTGTCAAGCTCTATACTCCTTGCTGCATCAATCATTATCAAAGAGTATACCTCTAAGGGAAATCATTGTCATGACAGCGACTGACAGTGCATGGATTTCATTTCATTAATTTTACTAAGTTTTATTTAGAAGATTTAGTTTTAAACTAGTTAAACTATTTATTAACTTATATTTAATTTGAAGTGTTATTGTTGTGTCATAACTAGATTAAGTTTTATAGGTACGTACTTAAAAAAACCGATTGTAAGTCAATTTATAAAATTATGTGATTTGTAGCTTCTGATCGCATTTTCACTAGTATGTGGATATATATTTCTTTATAGCATAAGCCGGTAAACGAGCAGACGGATCACCTGATGGTAAGTAATTGGCGTCGCCCATGGACACTCGAAACACCAAGGCGTTACAAGTACGTTACCGGCCTTTTGGGAATTGGGAATTTGAGGATTGTGGAGGATTCGGGGATTCGGGAGACGGGGACTAGGGAGGGGGGTAGCTAATTAGTCCTCCGGCAATCTCACTCACATGACGAAACACAACGCAAGCGTTGTTTCACGTCGGTTTTCTGCTCGGCCGTGGTATCACTCCGGTCGAGCCGGCCCATTCGTGCCGAAGCATGGCTCTCCCACACTTAAATTATCTCATCTCACAAAATTATTTCAATATGTTTTTCCAAACCTATTAATTATTTCTTCTCAATCTCATTCGATCCGTTCAAACTAAAATAACGTAATATACGAAGTCTGTATACCTAGATCAGAATCTAGGTATACAGACAGGTATACAGATAGAAGTCTGTATACCTAGATCAGAATCTAGGTATACAGACTTCTACCTATCTACCTTCTACAGATTTCTGAATAATAATCATCATCAACAGCCTATAAATGCCCACTGCCGAGCAAAGCCTCTTCTCAAACAGAGAAGGTTTGAGCAATAATCACCACGCTTGCTCAATGCGGGTTGACGAAATTTACAAACTTATAATTAGAAATAAACCCAGGTTTCCTCACAATGTTTTCCTTCACCGTTTGTCAGTGGCGTCTAGATAATCTTAGAAAGTACATACATATAACTCGGAAAAGTCACTTTGATACTTGCCGTTGGTAGATTTTGAAGCCACACCCTCATGCATGAGAAGTGGGCGTCTTAAACCTCCGGGCCACCACGACACGACACCTAGCTCAGAAAATAACCAACCATTGTAAGAAAGTCCAAAATATAGGTATATATAAAATGTAACACCCACTTTTCACCTTATATTCGAAGTCCTGTGTAATATAGGATGAGCTTCAATACTGGACACCATTTCAGATTCAGTGCTGTTACACGTATATACTAACAAGCCATGCTTCGGCACGAATGGGCCGGCGCAGGCTCCACCGGTGTGGTACCACGGCCTCAGAAAACTGACGTGAAATAACGGTTGCGTTGTGTTTCGTCGTGTTAGTGAGGTTACCGAAGGGCCCTATTCTGTCCCCAATCTCCCCAATTCCTGAACCCCCAACATCCTCAAAATTCCTAATCCCCAAAGGGCCGGTAACACATTTGTAACGCCTCTGGTGTTCCAGGTGTCTATGAGCCACGCCGACCGATTACCATCAGGTGATCCGTCTGCTAGTTTCCTGGTTTATCCTATAAAAAAAACTAACAGAGGCAGATTATATTTAAAGAGCGGCCTAAGCAAGCACCTCATAGGCGCTTCCAAATTTTTGGCGCTGCAGTCACTATGGACACGCGACTCGAAACGTCGCGGCGCCCCTGTGTAACCTGGCGCCCCTGTATAACCTGGCGCCCCTGTATAACCTGGCGCCCTGGACACTTGCCTTAACGATAATACGGCCCTGGCTACTTTTTTTTAAGGGGTAAATCATCGAATGACTGCTCCCGTCTGGGTGAGGTGGGAAGGAGTGTCAGACTCTTACTGACTAAAAACCACCCCGTTCCTTCTAAGGGCCGATTTTTCAATGCTCAGTTAAATTATATCAGAGGAATAACTTTGAATATTTTACAATTCTTCCATACGAATAACTGTATATTGTTATATAATATACATAATATGTCCATTTTATTCTACAGTTAAGAATAAACAATGATTGAAAAATCGATCTTCAGAATTAAAAAGATTATGTTAATTAATCTCCTTACAATCATTAAGGTTTTGTAAAAGTCAGGAGTTTTAGCAACTGCTTAATACTTCTTTTTCTGATAACTATCGTGAGATATACTAAATTAAGTAACAAAAAATCGTGGGTTGCTCACGTGAACATATGTATATGCGGCTCGGAACTAGTAATTTTTCTCAGTATATTTCCGTGAGTAGCCCGCGATATTTAGTTAAACTAATTCTTATTGTCTTATTAGCAGCAGCGCAGCCTACTGGACATCGCCGCGACCGCGCACGCTGCCCATGAGAAAGAACCCCTCTGTAGTCCGAAACTAGTAGAGCCTTTCTCAGTATATTCACGTGAGTAACCCGCGATTTTTAGTTAATTTAGTATGTCTCACGATAGTTCTTATTATCTTGTTAAACAAAAAACTTATCTCACTCTTTATTACCTCATAACACTGTGTCAATAATATCAGTAGGTAGCTGATTGCATCCTGATTTAGTATTGGCCTACTATCTAATAATGTTTATTTCTTTCAGATACGTACAATATTTTTCATTGACTTGAATCTAAGAAATATACCGCCTACAAAGGTACATACATACGCAAACAATTGAATTAAAATTACGAAAACATGGGTGAAAAGGAGCCGAAACCATTCCGCTGCGACGATGTTAAAGGGGAAAAATTTTTCACACAAACAGATGATATCGGAGGGGGCAATACTTGGTTTGATATATTTTGCTTCCCTTATATTCTGGGATCGAAATTTTGGGACTGTTGCATGCAAATGTGTGAAGGAGGCAACCAACTACTCGTTTACATGATGTTACTCCAATATTGTCTATGTAAAATCAGACGTGCAGCGTCGCCAAGCCCCATGTTTTACCCATACTACTTCTATATGGTCCTACAAGTTGTTATTATAACTGCAACATTTATAACAATATGGCTGCTTTGGGGAAGATCGGTCATAATTCCCTTCTTCCAGGCCTTCTATTACGCAATGACTGCAGACTATTCAGACATGGGTATTATACCACCAAGGAAGAAAAAATCAAAACCAAATGCATCACGTTTAACTTTTAAAAAGTATTGCTTTAAGAAAGGAGATATATTTGACACTCAAGTGGACAGAAGCATGTCGCCTATAGTCGTTCCTCCTACGACAATCGTTACCTTTGTATCACAACTCTTAGTAAATCAATTTATTTAGGAATACACACATAATGTGTTTTATTTTTACAATTTATATCTAGCAACTTAATTAACGCCTTTTTTTAAATGTTTGTAGCTGTTGAAGATTAGTAGCCATGTTACCATAATAATATTTAAAAATATAAAAAATAGGACCCGACCAGTAGCGGGAGCATGGTCCAAGCTACCGGTGGTTAGGGCTCCAGAGACAGAAACCTCCTCACGATACGTGCCGTTTCTAGGAGAACTGCCTTCTGTATCAGGCCCTTGATCCATCCACCTAACGCCAGCCTCCTGAGATGGATGTCGAGGCTTTTAGGGATTGGCCGACACGACTATCGGCACAATGATAGCCGAATCCACACTCCACATGTCGACAACCTCGTGAGCTAAGTCTAGATATTTTATTTGTTTATCT